CTCTGCCTCATAGAGGGGGCGGGGGGCGGGGGACGCGCGGAGCCTAGCGCGAGCCCAGGCCGCGCGCAGCCGCCACGGAGGACCGCCCCCGGATGGCGTCATTTCCGGGAGGCTGTGGTCACGCCCCTTTCCCCCAGGGCGTGCTTGCGCCGGCCTCCGGGGAGCGTGACGTTGCGCGCGGCCCAGTCCGCTATTGGCCGTGAGCTGCTTCTCGCCTGGCTGTTGGTCTCCGGTCCCGACCCTTGCTTTTCACTTCCCGGGCGTTCTGGCCGAAGCCCCTGCTCCCGGTCGGGTGGACCTGGGGCTCGGTGTGATCCTGGCAGAGAGCTGCTGGCCTTGGGAGTAACTCTGGTTCAGGTCCTGCCTATGCCGCTAGCGACGTGTGACCGAGGCGGAGTCATTTCTTCACTGACACTGAGTGTGTCACTCCTGGCATCTAGTAAATATTTACGTAATGACACGTGAATAATGTGTCCTAAGACTCAGGTGTGCTGATCAGTGTTGAACAGCTGGCGCTCGGGGGGGGGGGAAAGACGATGTATGCATTTTTTGTATAGGTACCTAAGTTAATCATAAATTTTACAGATGTAAAAGATGCGTAGCACACAATTTACAAAAAATAATAATATGCAGTTGCAAATTACTTGTAACCAATTGGTTCTCACAGAATGCTTTCATTGATTTTTGCCAAGCTCTTGAAGGGTAGCCCTGTGGTTTCAGTTGACCAAGGAGTGAATGTTGGTTAATATTTTCCTCTATGTCAATGTAAAAGGAAAGTAAAAAAACAAAGACAGTCTTAACTGTCAATTATGGAAGTGACTTCTTTGCTGAATCGGAACACAGTTTTCAAATGCTGAATATGTCTGCAATTTTTGTTCTATTCACAATGTAATGGATGCAGACATAACACATTAAACTTAAATCTGAATTATTAACATTTTCTTCATCACTTTCTTAAGCCCAGATGAGCAATAAAACACTAAATTTGTATGGTTTTCCAATTTCCGTTGTGTAAATACTCCCATCATGGCTGATTTCAATCTACCAACCTGGCTTTACAGAACAGAATTAGAAAGAGATGAGCAGTAGCATACCATTATGTAATAGTTTCATCGTGCAGATAACAACAACATAATCCCAAGAGCATAGATAACTAATAATAGTAAAATCATTAGGAAGTGATGAGTTTTGAGAATTTATTACCTTTGTTTTTAATATCACTTGTATAATTTAAACAGTGGCTGTGTTTAACAACTGGCTTGCAGGATTCCTGAAATGTTAATAATTGGTCTCACGAGCCTGTATGAGCGAGCTCCATAGCACCACAGTTTTCTCATCTGCAAAATAGGAATAAGGATTGCTGCTTTGCTTACTTGCAGACATATGGTGAAGATCAAACAAGATCAAGCTTGTTGTAGAGAGGAGGTCAGACTGGTGGCAGGGAGATCAGTTAGGAAACCCTTACCACCAGCCCATGTGAGGTGTTTAGCGATGCAAGAGGTAATGAGGAAGGAGCAATCAGCAGAACTTAGCAACTTTGGTACCTGAGGGTGCATTGAAGGGGATCAAGGGTCTGCTATGAGTCCTGCAGCCAGAGAGACCTTTTTAAAATGGAAATTTGTCCAATAGCTGGTTATTATAATGCTTCATGGTTTCCCATTGTTCTTAGGCTAAAGACAAAACTCCATAAGGAGGCTTTTGGGGTCCTGTGTGATCTGACCCTGCCTTTCCCTGGCTTCGTCTTCCACCCCCCCCTCCTTCTCTTTCCCCTGCAGCTCCACTAGCTCTGTGTCAAGCTTGCACACATATGGCTGTTGTATAAGCTATTCCCTATTCTTGAAAGGCTTTCCCCCTTTTTTGCTTAGTAAAGTCCTACTCACTCTTTAGGTTGAATTTCTCACTACCTCAGGGAAATCTCCCTGCCTGGGCACTTCCTCCTCACTGAGGTTCAGGACCACTTTTTTGTTGCACTTAATTGCACAGATAAAATTTGTCCTCTATTTGTTGGGTTATTTGGTTAGTCTGTCTTCTTTACTAAGCTGTCAGTTCTATGAAGGTAGGGGCCACATTTGCCCATCGTGGATTCTCCAGTGTCAAGGACTCTGTTTCTGGGCACAGAGTAAGCCCTTGATAATAAGCGTTGAATGCTTGTTCAACCTCACACCTTGTAAGAGTCTCCTGATACAAATTCATCTCATTGAGCCTGACAGAATAAATATCCTTCCTTGCCCATGAAGAAACAAACTCAGTTATTCACCAAAGATCAGACAGTTCAAAAGTTGCAGTGGTATTCAAAACCAGCTCTGGCCCAACCAGCGTGGCTCAGTGGTTGAGCATCGACCTATGATCCAGGAGATGGTGGTTCAATTCCCCATCAGGGCACATGCCCAGGTTGCAGGCTCAATCCCCAGCAGGGGGCATGCAGGAGGCAGCTGATTGATGACTCTCTTATCATTGGTGTTTCTCTCTCTCTCTCTCCCTTCCTTTCTTTGAAATCAATAAAAACATGTATTTTTTTAAAAAACCAGCTCTGTCTGATATGAAACATTTTATTCTCTACCCTCTCTCCCACAGCTAGCTCTCAGAGGTCATTGAGGTTTCTCGAAAAAAGAAGAGAAATTGCTATAGGATTACAGAACACCTGAGGCCTAAGAAGACCACCTAAGATCCCTGGCTAGGGCTGAAAAACTCTGGCCCCAGAACAGTTTCTAGGGGAATGCAAAATCCGTAGCTCTGCAGCGCCCTCTGCTGTCCAGCTACTTTTTTGGCCTGAGAGGGAGACTTTGTCACCGGGTAGCTCCACCTGCCCAGAGTACACAGAGGCACAAGGGAATGCACACAGGCTCTTTCTAAGGCAGGACAAGGAATACTGCCTTTCTCCATTTCCTTAAATGTCCAGGCCTGTAGCCCAGGTCCTAGAAAAACATTAAAAATTAAGATCCAAGCAAAGGAAGTATATCTTTGTATGAGTTGGATTGGTGTGTGTTTGTTGAGCGGATTTTGTGTCTACACATACCTGTTTCACTGAAGGCTATATAAATGGTCCCTGCAGTGGTAGGACTCTAGTTTTTAAAGTTTGTGAAGAACAATTCAGACCATCTAAACCAGTGCTGAGGTTCACTTAAGTCACTCAGCAGTGGGCCAGGCTTCAGGGATACAGTGATGAGTGAGACAGGCTTTTCCCTGTCCCACTGGAGCTTGCTATCTCATTTGAGTCCTAATCATGCCATTTCCTGGAGCAAAGAGCTCCATGGTCAAGAGCAAATAATTAAACATCTTTGAACTTGTGTTTCATTTGCAAAAGTAGGTCAATAATAATCCCCCTCAAAAGGGGCTGTTGTGGGGATTAAATGGAAACTTACATGAAATGCTAAAACGCTATGCAAATGTTAGCTGTTATTACTATGAAAAGCTTCTTGAAGGGAAAAAACAACTTACTATTATGTCTTCACCCAGTGTGTTTTGTTGGCCTTAACTAATGGTACCTGGCAATACCAAGAACATGGGATGGGTTACTTGCTCCCTCTGTCCCTCTCTCTGCTAGCTAGCACACAGAATCAGAGCAGCCAAGGAGAGAGCTATGGATGTGTGATACAGGTCTGGCCCTAGTAACCACTCACTGGCTTTGTGGCCTGGAGAAGGTCACTTTTCCGACATTCAATTTTAGTTTTAATTTCCTTCTCTGTGAGAGAATGGTCTGGGCTGTAGGCACTTCTAGTCCTGACATCCTAGGGATTCTGCCGGAGGCTTGCCCTTTAGTCTCTTTTCCTCCCACCCCTTACATTCCCACATAGGGCTCTGAAGCAGAATTGTTTGCAGAGGCCACCTGTAAAGAAGGGAAGTTTTTAGCAATCTCCACCTGTCCCTTCCTACATACATTCAGTGATCTGGGGCATCAAAGGTTGGAGGTGGCCGACTGGGCATGACTCAGTGGTTGAGCATTGACCTAGGATCCAGGAGATCGAGGTTCCATTCCTGGTCAGGGCACACACCCGGGTTCCTGGCTCAATGTGCAAGGGGCAGCCGATCAATGATTCTCTCATTATTGATGTCTTCATCTCTCTCTCTCCCTCTCCCTTCCTCTCTCTGAAATCAATAAAGATTTTTTTTTTTTAAAAAAAGGTTGGGGAGTGGGCAGAGTGAGAAGGGAAGGAGGCTGAAGACAGCACGTGCCTGCGAGGCCAGATCACTGTGAGTGGGGAGCACATCAGCGATGGAAAGGTGATGGAAGAGGTCGAGAGAGAAGGCAGGGGCTTTGCTCTGTGGCTACCCCAAATAATCCATACCCCTCTGATCCAGGGAGGCTGCCTCAGACTAACTGAGCTCCCGGGAACAACGTGAGCGGTAAGGAAACCAAGAAAAGCAGGAGAGGTTAGGCATGGTTTTCAAGAAGATGGGAAGAAGGCGGGGCTTCGAATGGCGAAATGAAGGTGGAAGAAGTGGAAGCAGAACTTTGTTCACTTGCTTCTCACTGCCTCCATCTGCTCCCCCCCCCCATTGGCTGTGGCAGGCAGCTCCGTGATACAGGATGAGGGATCCCCTGGGTGGGAAGGCGGAGGCCTGGTGGAGGCTCCTGCTCTGTCACAAGCAACAATGTGGCCCCAGGAGAGTCCCTTTGCCTCTCTGGGCTTGATTTACTCCTGTGCAATGGGGTTTGATTAAGGTCTCTAAGGAACAGCCAGGAGGTGGTCATGGTTTGATGGGGCAGTGTAGGGGAAGCAGAGCTCTGAGTCTGAGTCTCAACTCAGAGTGAGCAGCTAGGTGATCTCAGGTGAGCCTCTGAACCTCAGTGTCTGCATCTGTGAAATGGGGATAAGCATGTCCACTTTGCATAGTTGTGGGGAAGATTAACTGAGATAATGCACATGAAAACACTATAAACTGCACAGTCAGTACAGTGATTGAGATTGATCATGGTTATATGAGGTGTTCTTTCCCACCCTCACCGTCCCCAGTCTCAAATTCCGGTTCAGCAGCACTGTGTCAGGGGGTACAGGCAGCCAGAGCAGATTGCCAGGAGATGCAGCTTGGCCCTTTATTATGCCTGTTGCATTGCTGCCAGGAGGCTGAGTGGAGCAGAGGGATGGAGAGGGGAGCCCGGGCTCATCTGTGGTTGCTATGACGCCCCATCCTGGATTTGCCCGTCTCTCCTAATGGAGCAAAGGGCAGAGGGAGGCAGGAAGAGAGGGAGGGAGAGAGAGAGAATGACTGGTCCCTTCCTCCCCTCCCATCTATCTCTCTCTGGAACAGATGTAGGGT